TTAATCTTGATTCTGGTTGCATCATTTTGCTCTAACCTATTAAAAACAAAAATCCATCTTAACAGTATCAGTGTATGAGTCTTTGTGTTCTTGGAAGGATGTTCTGTTTTTTTGTTTTTTTCTGTAAGGTCACTCCAGCATATAGGTGGGACAATAAACATTACTGATTAGATTTTATAACATTTTCTAAATTTACTAATAAACAAATTATTACTTATTTTATTATTCAATAATGAAGTTTAAAACTAAACTGTTTTTTGTAGGAAGCAAAAATTTAGGAGTGAAACCCAGTGAGGAAACCTCCTTTGATGTGACATCTGATCAAATTACCAACATTATTGTGATATTAATAATTAGGCTTCTTAATCATTACTCTTATGATTGCACGTTGTGTAAATAAAAATATTGTTGAATAATGTCAAGCCTGGTAAGTATTAATAACATTATAATAATAACCGGATTTATAAAGCACCAAAACCAAAGTTACAAGGTTCCACACAGGCAGACATTTAAATACAAGGAGTAAAAACAATCCAAGCAAACCAAGACACTAAAATAATAAAGTAAATAAAATTAGACAGAACTCCAGTCATGAGACAACCCTCCTAGAGAAAGGAAAGTTGTCAGTTATGGTTTTCAGAGAGGACTCAGACTTTGCTCATGTGAGATTGTGGTGATTGGACATTTCTGTGGATTTTTCGTTGGGTGCATCCGAATTGTCCCTCCTATCTCCTTTCACTATCCACTTTACCTTAACCCCGGAAGCAGTTAAGTGGCGGCCATGATAAGAGCCGTTCGAATTCTCTAAAAGTTAAGGAAAGGTGGGTCAATGCTTCCTTTATAACCTCCTTTAGCATAGGATACACTGGACCATCCTTTACACCCGCCCTAGATAAACAAAAGTTTTCAGTTATGGTTTTCAAAGAGGACTCAGACTTTGCTCATGTGAGATTGTGGTGATTGGACATTTCTATGGATTTTTGCTTGTTTGGTGCTTGTGTTTTTGTTCTTTCAGAGGCTGGGTGTGTCTTATTGGCTGCTGGATCTCTCCGATCACTCACCTGTTTGTCATCTGTAATCACCGGCTGCAGCATTTATACCCTAGTTCAACTCTCCCAAGCTGCCAGATTATTTCCGCCTACACCGTGGTAGATCGGCTTCTCAGTATCAGTACACTTTTTGTGCTTTGGCTACCTGTCACTAATTATTCCCTTGTCTTCTTTTTTCCCCTGTGCCTCCAACCACCGAGCTCCAGCGTCTCACCACCCAGCCACTCATTCAAGCCTCACCAGACTTCACCATCCTCACTTCAATAAATACCCCTTTACCCACCACCCTGTTTTCTGGTCTTGCTTTTGGGTCCACTTAAAAACCTTTAAGAACATAACAGAGATCCTCTGACAGGGGATTCCAAAGCTCAAGACCCTGAACAGCAAAAGCCTGAAACCAAAGTTTTAGTCAAAGCTGAGATTTAGGGCACTGTAATAAAGTTCCTGCCAGAGGATCTCAAACGGCAAGTTCACGTTCAAGTAAAAAAAAATAATTGGAAGTGTGTTTTTACCAAGCTGCAACCTCCAAGTCTGAGAAATGAAGCCAGCATGGAAATACCAAAAACTGCAGTCTCTCAAGTGGCCACTGGAGGCAAGTTCCTCAGGTAAGTCATAAAGCCCCATAGTAAAATGTGTCCACTTAGACTGACATTTAAGAACAGGCAAAAACGTGAAATGTTTCAAACAATTAACAAATAATGCAAACTGGTTTAGAAACTATTATTGAGAGGGCTTCAGATGTGTTGTTTAGAGTCAAAACTCTTCACCATATGAGTGCAAATGAAGAGGACACATTAAAAAAATGTCTAAGAATGTTTGATAGAAGCTGAAAATTCATCTCTATCTAAAGTAATACCATAAATACAAATAAATGTGATATTTTACATTACTTTTATTTCATAATCCAGATTTTTTCCAATGCATGACCAATGTGACCCTTAAATTGGTATAATTAATAACTTACTTAATAACTTGCTTTTCATGTTACTGGAGATGATACCTTAATAAAACTTACATCAGACCATCTGAAAACTAAAACCTTCAGACTGTAAAGAAGGATTGTTTTTTTGTATTTCAGATTTTTATTTTTCCATGGAATCAAGTAAATTTAGTTTTTCCAAATTTTTCCTGCACAGTGCCCTGTTGTTTCCCTCCCCTGTTTGAAAATGTTCTAGAAAGAAAGCACCCGAAGTCTTAACCTTTGTTTGATATTCAGGTTAAGGTCAAGGTCAAATTTATTCATAGAGTGGTTTGAAGCAAACACGGTTGTTTGAAGCACTTTTTACACAAAAAAAAACGTTATACCTGCAAGTGAACACGTAAAGGAAAGATAACTTTATCAGTATTTTAGTCGATTTTAATATGCAAACTGACAGTCGTGTACCTAAAAGGCTTGCATGCATGTTGTGCCTCCAAAAATAAGAATGAAAGAAATGTTCATTAGGCTACATTTAATCCCTTGCTGAGTATTTATTTTTAGAATATAATTCTTATTTTGGTATTCCTCTTTTTTCTTCGTGCAGAGTTTGTATTTTGACATTGAAATAGAGAATAGAGGTGCTTTGTGTTGGGACTTGGGAGGAAATGAGATGTGATGCACAGATGGGTTTTTTTCTGGCTGCATCCTGATCCGAGAGCAAGGATATGATTCATGGTTGTCACCAGCACGTGGCACGTGTGCACTGAACCTCATTAGAATAGCTATTGGTGGGGCATTGATCTATGTTCATTCACCTCTAATGAAATGTCTCTCTAATAGCTTCTCATGAGATGCTGAAGGTAGGCTCACTCTGCACTCGTTCACTCTCATCTGGGACTATGTTGTTTAATTTATTATTTATGTTTGTTGTTATTAAAAGTAGTACGTGCTATTTGATAATGACTCAGGCAAATAACGACATTTAGAGTAAATTCTTCACAAAACAACAACGGCGGAGTCTGGTTCTTATATTAAAAGACACGATATTTACGATATTAAGGCCTGCAGTTTTTTTCCTCCAACATAGGCCCTATGCAACATAGCCTATAGACTATCTCCACACATCTCCTGATCACATATTATATTACAAACATTAAACCTGTTGTGGGTTTGACTGTCGCTGACAGCATGACGCTCAGCTGCCAAATAGTCCCACTGGAACTGCTTTTTATTCATCCCCACATGAAGCCTCCTATTGATGGACAAGATCTTATCTTTTCGCGTCCACCGCGCGCGTCCACTCACCTCCATACATGTGCCCTGCGCAATTTTCCGTCCAGATGTCCTAAGTGTGCCGAAAATTATCCCCGAATGACTGAAACTGATGTGCAATAATTGAATAATAGCTGATTAGAGAGAATTAATTGTGTGTGTGTGTGTGTGTGTGTGTGTGTGTGTGTGTGTGTGTGTGTGTGTGTGTGTGTGTGTGTGTGTGTGTGTGTGTGGTGGGGGGGGGGGGGGGCTTAAAGAGATGATTTCCCCTGACGTCCGTAATGTCTTTTCTCTTACTGTTTTAAATCACATTAATGTGAGGGAACAAACGAGTCTTCTTGTGATCCTACAAAACTAACAAACAAAGAGTGAGAGCATACTAGCCTAAATAAATTGGTTATTGTTTTGTGCACTAGCATTTGTTCCTGTTTTTTTTTTTTTTTTTAATCATATTTAATTGCCAAATACCTCGCTCAGGTTATATGATAGGCTACTGGTACCGTGACCTGTCAGAGAATTAAAAAAAAACGCTTAATAACCAATCAACAGATGCGCAGAGGCCCCGAAGACCAAATGTTTAACCTATTCGAATATACGCAAATAAAAGTAGGCTCTGGGTTATTATAGGCCTACGGGACATGAGGGATAGAGAGAACGGGTCGGTTTGCTGTCGTAGAAAACCCCTGGACATGATTAGGCCTATCGAATAAAACAAAATCGAATTTTATAAGTTTTTGAGTGTTTCTACTGATTTGTGTGTTTTTCCTTCCTCTCCTCGAAAATCAGACTATGACTTGATTGATTCATTTTAAATGACTTAGCCTCATGCATAGTCGTTTTTCCACAATGTAAAGCATTATAGGTCAATTGAAAGACGCTATAAATGAAAATCTAGTTGGAAAATAGCCTATAAGCCACAAAAAGATGAGTTATGAGCAGTTTAATTTTCAGTTTCTAAAATCAAACGGTTTGGTCACATTTTCTTTAGTCTAATTAACATTTGATTATGCTACATAATGAACTAGCCTATCGCAATATGTCTTATGTCTACATTTTAAATGTGAAACGCATTTCTTTCCAATGAAAGAAAGGGTTTTTACTGTTATAAAAATATTATCATCAAATTATTTCTTTAAATTAGGCTATATTTTGGTTAAAAACAAACCTTACAGTCCAAAAAGTAGCAGCACGTTTACATTGATTTTAACTAGGCCTAAAGTTTAAGTTCCAGAGCTGGTGCCTGAGGACAACTCAAAAATAAACAAGTTAAAATAAGCAGTTTTTCTCCAGATGACTCGATCTGTGGGGATTAGAGATTAGACTATCAGAAACAGCCTATCCTTGCTTGAATAGTCGTCTCTTGTTCGCAGTTTTATTTGGCTGTTTAAAATGAAAAAAACATCCTCCTTTATTAAAAGCTTTTATGTTAAATGATAGTAAAATATGTTCAGTTCAAACTGACAACTCTCCAAATTAAAAGATGATAAAACTTTCAATTATATTCACATATAGATCATTCACATTCAGCAATTTAATAGCCAAAAGTGAAATATTTGAGTTCTTTTGTCCTGTCAATAATCGCCAAAGAGTGTGTTATGTGCTTTGATGAAGCTTGATGCTGCTGATGCTAACTTAAGTGTGGGCTCTAGCCTCTATGCCCTCATGTGATTGGCTGCCGCCTGTTGCCTGTTGGATAAAAGCGGCGCAGAGAGGCGGGCAGTGAGAGAGAGAAGGAGCACCTCAGGGCTTGTTGCACCGGGGACTTTGACTTCTTTTTTTTTTTTGAGAGAGAAAAGGGAAAACAAGTGGGAACTCACTGCCATGACAGGAAAGGAGGGAGCTGTGTTTTCAGACTCTGAGAACAGACAGAAAACAGCCTCACAAATCGGCGTTAACCACGCGGGGTCCCAGCAGCCGCCCCCGGTTTGGAAGATGGCCCCCACAGTGCACCGGCGGACCGGCTTCGGGATCCAGGAGCTGCTCGGCCTCAACAAGGAGCCGCCGGCGGCCCCGAGGCGGCCGCTCGAGGCTCTGCCGCACAGGGCTCACGTGCTGGCTGCGAGGTCGGTCCTTGGACATGGTGGTCTCGGGGTCGGTATGGGTTTGCTGGGACCGGAGGGAATTCACTCGTTTTACAGTCAGCCGGCTTTCCTAGAGGTGCTGTCAGAGGCGCAAAATGTGCACCTGCAGCCTCTGCACAGGACGACACACATGGACGCACAGATGGAGGCACAGCACTCCAACAGCTCCGGTTAGTGCGTCACTTACACCACACGTTGCACACGTTCACTCCTGTTTTTCTGCATGTTTGAAACTGAACACTATTTTTTATATATCTCTAGCTCACTAATTTAAAGCTGTTTCAGCTAGAATGTCTCAAATTAAAAAAATGACAAATGATTAACAAAAAGATTGCAGGTGTTTTAGGGGCCTATGATTGAATGATAATGTTTGTATAGATGACTACAGGTGAAATAGGCCCACGTTTAAAAAATATATATATTTTATTACATATTATAGGCTACATAGGCCTATTTTTTTGAAGCTTTAAAGAAGACTAAATGGGGAAATAACTGTAAATGCGTGTGCCCTCATTAAGCTATTCAGACCTTATCAATTGAACGTATCATAGGCTATCATTATTTATATTTGTGGTTAATTATTATAACTCGTAGGCTATATTACGTGGTCGATTTTATATCTCTATTGTTAGAATTTGTTTATACTTAAAAACCGAAATTGTTGCTGAAGACTTATTTATTATCGCCCTTGATATCAAATGACGCCGTCTCTTGTAATCATCATCATTATTATTATTATTATTATTATTATTATTATTATTATTATTATTATTATTATTATTAATAATAGTTATTGTTGACATTGCTGTGTTTCTCGCAGATTCAGACGACGTGAGTCTGTCCTCCTGTGATCAGAAGTTCTCCAAGTCCTCCCTGAGTCAGAGCAAGAAGAGAAAGAAGAGACGACACAGGTACAAACAAACAAACAAAAACTCAACGAAGGAAAAATATTTTGTCAAAGGATTATTAATTTATTTTGTTAGACTGATTAGTTTACGTTCGTGTATGGCTATCGGCTCTTCTACCATAGGACGTAAAAAACGGAATCCCTGTTGCCCTGTTATTGATAAAAGCGATGCTCAGGCTTTATCTGAGATACATGTTTTATAATCTACTTTATTAAAGCGCTTTCTTTGATACCCTCGTTGAATATTCAATTGAAGTTATGATTTATTATTTGCTACATTTTAAAATGTTGATATCGATAGGCCTTTGTTTCGTTTGAAATAATAACGAATATCATTCACTGTACCTTTATTTAAAGAATTACATAGAAAAGTGTCCTCTTTGCATTTACAGTATGTATACCTAAAGAATATTCAAGTATTTTTAATCTTACTATCTTTTTTTTTTTTTTTTTTCTTATTTTGGATTTAATTCATTCAGTTGTGCACTGGTTTAATATTATACCAAATTAAACTAATGTGTTAAGAATATACATTATAAGTGAAAAAAAATGTCCTTTTTATTCTCACAAATTCTTTGTCTTATCTGCAGAACCATTTTCACCTCCTATCAGCTGGAGGAGCTGGAGAAAGCTTTTAATGAAGCTCACTATCCAGATGTGTACGCCAGAGAGATGCTCTCCATGAAGACTGAGCTGCCAGAGGACAGGATACAGGTGTGTGAGCGTTTTAATGTGTGTGTGTTATGCAGAATACAAATTCCCCTCTTTATTCATGAAAAGCCTTAATTTTAACAAATAATTCAGCTTATTCCTTTGACTATCCTTTACGTCAACTTAGGTTAAAACATTTTTTTCCTATCACAGACCATGCCAGAGATGTAGATTAAGGGGATAAAGATGGATGTTTATATTAATACTAAAAGTAGTCCGACAGTCAGCCGTCATGCTCTTATTCCTCTCTGCTCTCACACTAGCAGCCAACTCATCCTCTCAGCGTAATTAGTTAATTGAGGAGAACTTATCACCTCTCTCCCTGCTATAGAGTCAGTCTGCGGCCCTGAAATGAAACGATAACTGCACAGAAATTAATGAGTGCAGGTCAGCGGCCGAGCGGAGAGCTCTGTCTGCTGCTCTGAGACTTTTAATTTCCCGTGATATTTGAGCGCCTGTCTCCCATTGATCGGGCCCTGAAATTAACTTATTTTTCAATCAGCCTCCTCGCCCCCAGGGTCACCTCCGCCTGGAAGCACTTCCCCGCACACACATGAGCGAAGACACACACACACAGGCACCGGCAGTCACGCACACGCAAACTGTCGCTGTCAGAAAGCATGATTGCTTATCCGAGGCCCATCTTTTTATGAGATGGAGGTTATCATCAGATCTACCTGAATAGCTTTCCAGGCTCAGCTTTGATGGGTTTTAATTCTAGATCTGGGAAATACACACACACACACACACACACACACACACACACACACATGCACACACACACACGCACACACACACACACACACAATCTCATCCTGCCGCCTCGGCCATTTTAGGATGCTCATTTTTCCCTGTTTTCCTCCTCATCCATATTCACGAGCTTGCTGAGGCTATTACAGTTTCTGGCTTGGTGGAAATCAATTTAGGCACTTGAGGAGCCAGAAGGAGAATAATGGACAAACATACACATGCGCGCGCACACACACACACACACACACACACACACACACACACACACACACACACACACACACACACAGAAGGCTACATGTTGTATAAATGAAGGAATGAGAGATACAACTTCAAGATTAAAAACTGAAATGCATGATAGACCCATCATGTGCAGCACATTTACATTTTCAGTCTCTAATCAATTTACTATATTTGAACAGATATATTCAAAAGTAACACCAAAAGAAGAATAAAATGTGCATTTAAATTGACTTCTTCATCATTTGTATTGTTTGTTAAAGCATCCAGCAGATGTCATCATTTCACTTTTTTATTTTCTCTTGGTCTGATAAAAAAATTAAAAATTATTAATCAGTTAAAAGCCTGAAAAGGAGTAGGGGAGGGGGAGTTACACAATGAGAACCTTTATATTCCCAATGTACATTGTTATGTCAAGAGACATAACAATACTTCACTTTAATGTGAAACACGCTGTGTTTTTACCTCATTACAAATCCAGAATGTGTGACAAATGAATCAATGTTAGATTAACTGCATAAAAAGAGGATTTTTCCTATTCCTTTAAAAAAAAAAAAAAAAAAATCTGTGTATGATTGCTTTTGGTTTACCCGAAAGTTTCCAGAATACATTTCTAAGTCCAGGTGACAAATCTATAAATGTACTGTAGGCTATTGGCTCAGACTTCAGAGAATATTGTAGAGTTAATTTCAAGATAAGCTCAGTCAAAATCTAATCCTTATCTCACCTTCATGTCTCCAGGTGTGGTTTCAGAACCGCAGAGCAAAGTGGAGGAAGAGGGAAAAGTGTTGGGGTCGCAGCAGCGTCATGGCCGAGTACGGCCTGTACGGAGCCATGGTGCGTCACTCCATCCCACTACCAGAGTCCATCCTCAAGTCAGCCAAGGAGGGCGTCACTGAATCCTACGCTCCGTGGCTACTAGGTAAACTTGTTACAGAGATGTTTGTTGCATTTCAACTCGGGCAAATTTGGATCCACATTTAGTGACATATTTTAGTAGGAAAACACACACATAGAAATCATGAAATCATCATGGCTACATACCATTCATCCTCTTTAGGTTTAGGGTCCTGATTTGCAGCATGCTGTCTCACTGTCACGCTGTTGTGACTTAATGGAAACCTTTAATGGAAAATAAGGCCCTGTTAATGTTATAAGTAACAAACTTCAGTATAACTCAAAATGTAAAACATATACTATGAAATATATCACCTGCATTGATCTCAACCCATGGGCAAACCCGCTGACTAATAATCATTCTCTTATTCCATACTCTGTAACACGTCAAATTAAACTTGAGCCTATGAGGGACAAATCTTAAAGTAAATTACAAAGGATTGAACTTAAAAGAAGAAATGATATTTATATATAATATATTACTGAATCATAGTTATTGATGCAGTACTTTTCCCAACACTTTTACATAGCAGATGCTAAAAGTGAAGCTGACTAAAGATACATCTTTTACGTTATATACTGGGTAGCTTGAATAATATTTCATTTTTAATTATAAATCTTTTACATCATAATTAATTCATTATCAATCTTCATCTTTATAGTGATAACAGTTTGAGGTAATTATAGGGGAGTACCGGTAAAGAGACTTAGCTCTGAAATATAAGCATAACATATCAAATTGCATAAAATGGAAATTCAACCAATAATTTAAGCACCACAAAAGTTAAGTGGTTAAGCGTACTTGCAAATGCACTCTTTAATAAACTCACACTTAAGTTTATTTAAAAGTGTTAGAACGAGTTATTTAAATCCAAACCCTTCAACTGATCTTTTAACAAAACTATTAAGTTCTTCTTTTCTTTTTCTTTTACAGTTGACCGAAAGGGGTCACATTAGTTCCACCAAAAGCAAAGTGACCGCTAGTCTTTTTAAGAGATCTTAAATGATGTCACAGTCTCTTTTTGACCATAACACCTTAAATGTACAAAGTGAAAGATTGTACTGTAGGCTTTGACCCACTTCCTTAGATCAGGAAGGTCTAAGCCTGGCTCATGTTAGGAGCCAATAAAAGTGTCAGCATGTCAATAAAGATGAGGCCAGTCGATACCGTGATAATCCTACTAAATCACGACAGATTAGAGCAAATCTCCTTGCTTGCCTCATGTCAATTGATTGGGTTAAATCAATTAGGTGGCTAATTGAATTAGAGTTCCCATCAATCTATTGCTTTCATCTTCATTCTCTTACACACTTCATTTCAATGTCAAATTGGTGCTCTTCTTCAGACTGATTTCCTTAAATCACCTTAATGAATCAAACAACACCAAGACGAGGATACTTAAGTCCTTAAAGTACTCATGGTGATGTTTTTGTCTCCCTTCAGGTATGCACAAGAAATCAGTGGAGACGTCTCCTGGAAAACCGAGCAGCCTGACACCATCTCCTCCTCCACCAGCGCAGGAGAAACCAGAGGACATAGTGGTGGAGGAGAAGAAGGAGAAACAGATGAAAGACAGTGACTCACAGATTTCTAAAGAGGAGCTAAGGGAGAACAGTATCGCTGTGCTGCGGGCGAAGGCGCAGGAGCACAGCGCCAAGATGCTCGGGACAGTTTCTGACAGGTCGAACAGCCACGAAGCACAAAGAGAAGAGGCTGAGGACAAGCTGGCGGAGAAGGACACTGCAGAGGTTGAGAAGAGGGACTGAATGTGAAAAATGTTGCACGATACAGACTGTTGCAGAAAAATATCTACAGAGCGGCGTTTGAAAAGGTTTCACAGAGGCAGACGTCTTGCCTCGTCGGTTGAGTTGAACCTCGGTTGAGTGGAGTCTGACTGACGAACGCCATAGAGTGTACCGGTCAAATATTAAAATCATAGAAGAGAAATGAAGGAATTAATTTATCTCCCCTCTGGAGGAGACCGAAGCTCACATTAACTGCAGCCTTTCTTTTACATGGAGCTGCCTTAAAAAAAAAAAAAAAAAAAACATTTTTAATTTGAAATGTTTGTTTACCTCTGCACTTCTGTGACATGGCAGCTACTTTATGCAATAGCCTGGATCAAGATGTTTCAGTAGGCCTCGTTCGCATGAAAGGGACTCCAGAGGTGCTAAAGAGGACTCCCTATGGTTTCAGTTGGGTAACGGAAAAAACCTTAAGAACAAGCAGTCTTTGTTTTCTTTAAGCTGTCACAATATGTGTGATGTACATACTGAAGATAATGTCCTATAGATGAAACTGTATCATCATGTACAGTTTACATTAATGATCTGTGTGTGTCTGTATAAATGTCACTGTAGTGTAATTAAAAGTTACTGATATTTAAAGTCACCCCTCTTCTAAAACATGTGTTATGCTTTTATGCATTATGTTGAATGTTTATATATTTTTGGTATAACAATCTATGTATTGAGTCGACTTCCCTGAGAAACCTCACCAGCAATGGTTGGTCCGCCAGATATAAGTATAAGATTTCTTCCTTGCGCAAAAAATAAACGATTGATAATGACTGAAGACGATGACGCTTCAAAAGTAGAGGGTGCCTGGACAAAAAAAAAAAACAGTCAAAACTGTCAGTGTCATTGGGTCTGTATTTCTGGGGTCCTAAAACTGTCCTGCAGTTACCACTTACCGTCAAAGGGGCTGCCAAAGAGCAAAGAACTTTTAAAAGTCGACGTTGGATTTCCAAATAAGGAACCATGAGTAGGGTAATTTCATGTTAAACAAAGATATGAAACAGAAGCAAGTAGCCTATTGCATGAGCTTTAAAATGTGACAAGAGTCTTTCAACCATAGAATAATGTGTGGAGAGCAAATCATCGACTTTCTGTCTCTTTTTGTAACTGATGTTGAAATCCAATAACTGAGTAAGCATAAATGGGGTTTGTACCGCCCTTTAACGCATGAGTCCTCAAGCCCTTCCTCTCCGGAGTTTCCAAGTTCTCCTATCATAAAGTCAACAGTGTAACTTCCAGAATTGCTTAAACGCTCCTATTTCCTTTTGACGGAAATGCGTTGCAAACTGTATTTCCGTTAGAACTGTACACTTTCTTTCACTATCACGATGTGGCTGCCTTGCGGATGCACCTCAAAGTCGGTCGCTACTTTCTTCAGTCGTCGGGTCTTCAGATCTTATTTCCATGTCTGGGGTCGAAGGAGGTGTAACGTCACGGCGTTTATGCCGGAGGCTGCCGGGTTTGACGGCGTGTCGGACCGCGCAGCTCTGCAGGACTTCTCGGTGTCCAACAGTGAGAGCTTCTGGGCCGCTGTGGCGCGTCAGAGGCTGACCTGGATCACACCTTTCACCACGGTCCAAGACTGTGATCTGAGCCGGGGGAAGATCAAGTGGTTTGGGGGAGGAAAGCTGAATGTGTCCGGTAGGATCCTATAAAAAAAAATATCCTAGATGTAACTGGATTTATTGAGGGAAATTTGATTCGAAGAGTTAACTTGATCCAACAAGAGACATAAACAAAGCAAGTGTGGGCGGTTCTAGGCAGGGGCCTCACAATCTAGCATTAAATACTGTTACTGACAAAAATGTGAATCATGGTATTTTATGTTGTGGTAGGCTATTTAATGATGTGCGCTATTTATTTGGCATAATATAGGCTATTTCTTTTTTACCTGGGTTTAATGTTCCCCTCTGACAAAGCAACTGGCCCCAGTTTGACCCCTGAAGTAGGCTCTTCTCTATTTAACCTGAACGCAACAAAGCATTAATAATGTTTCCCCCACCCTTTGTTTCTTTATGGGTATATGCAGTTAACTGTCTGGACCGCCATGTGCACACCTGTCCTGAGAGAGTGGCTCTGATCTGGGAGAGAGATGAACCAGGGTCAGAGGTCAAAGTCACCTACAGGTCAGCAGGTTGTTTAAGTTTATGACGCTGTTTACACATAATATACTGTACAATGCTTTCTGGATGATCCAATCACAAGAGGAAAGCCTTAAGTGTGGCTGATACCAACTGATTTGAAATGCGTCTCCACTGACCACTTTTGATCTTACTTCTCCGCTGAATATCTAAATAAACATGAAATATAATTATATGAACAAAGCGCAGAAAGCGGGCGAGTGTGAGCTGATCTTATGTGGACGTGCAAAAGACAGAGAAGACAATTTACAGAACAAAAATGCTCATGTGATCATGAAGCCTGATGTTCATCTACAGCTCTGTAGTTTATCATGGATTATATGAGCGCCACAGCAGACTCAAGTCTCTGTTAACAGGGGAACAAATTGCCAAAAGAGCCACACGATTAACACTGAAAACATCTGTATCCTCACTGTATTACATTACTATAAAGTATGATGACCTGTTCATGACTATCTCCTGCTCATAGTTTATGCCTTGTAGTAGGCTGTGCGGGAAATACAAAAGTTACCTGAGGGTAACTATCCTATCTAGAGGCCATCTCACTATCTTCTCCTAATCATCATCATTGTTGAAAAAGTAAATTGCACTGTAACTGTTGAGAAATTTCTAAGACTTGACTCCACACAATAAGACTCAGTTGACTCAGATGGCTTACGTTGACGAAAGTTTATTCATCAGATGAATACTCATGAGGAGACATGATTCAGCATCACACTTCTGTACTCGTGTCTTGCTCAATCACATCTGCCGAACTTCTCGAAAGGCATCGCATATATTCTAAAAGACATTATCATTATCAGGGTCGTGTCACGTTGACCCACCTAGACTAAACTGTGACGTCTATAACACTGGAGCAGACAATACGTCTACCAAACATCCTTGCAGATATCAGGAAGAACAGTTGACACTCTCCAAGCTGTACTTGGTGTTCTAATAACAACTGAACTCTCTCAGGTCTGACTGACATTAAAGAACAGTGAATAAACCTAATGACATCTGTACATTATAATCTAAACAACTACCGAAATTCCACCACAGTAACCAACTGTGGCCTGTATCCCATCACTCATTAATGTATAAATTACATCTTCACATGCTCAGAATGACAGACGATATTATCAGACCAAAGAGAGTCCCATGACAAAGTGGAGAAGTGTTAAATATACAAGTGGAGGCAAGAGGTGGATACGAGCTGTGTAGGCGGCCCTTCTGTAAGGCCAAACATGCGTTCACAAATGTGGAAAGTGCTTCCTAGATGTGGCCTCTATGCTTCCTCTAATGTGGCAAGAGTGATTGGCTCTCATGAGAGCATGTACACCAGTAGGTAAGGCTGTCACATGTGATCAGATCAACCAGTTTGATAATACCAGGTGTATACAAGGCCTATAGATAGTGTATTTGTGATCGTCTTCCATCATCTATTAGGTGTAGTGTACTTCACTGCTCCCTCTTTACAGTGAGTTACTGGAGATGACATGTCGCCTGGGCAACCTGTTGAGGCGGCGTGGTGTCAAGAAGGGGGACTGCGTCACCATCTACATGCCCTCCTGCCCCCTGGCTGTGGCGTCCATGCTGGCCTGTGCCCGGATTGGTGCCGCACACAACGTGGTGTTCGCAGGATTCAGTGCTGAGGCCCTCGCAGGGCGAATCAGAGATGGTGAGATGGATTTAAATGACAATATATGGGAATCAGATTTCCACTACATTAATTAAAGCTGCCCTATTCAGTATCTTCATCAGCAGGTAGTCTAATAACTGTAATGTCAAAAAGGTCGACGTTATACTTAATGTTATAAGATTTTTAGTTTTATTTGACATTATTTCCAGCAGCAGTCAGCTCTAAAACCTACAAAACACAGCCTACAGATAGATGTTGCTTAAAAAAATGAAACATTTATTTAACCAACATTAAAAGGATCTGAGTGTGTGGGAGATTTAAGTTCAAAGACCAAACAGCAATTTCAACATGAAAAACTGCATCATTGGGTGTAATTTTGTGAGTTTAACCTATAAGTGACCCATTTCACATTATAACCAATTTATGTGTTGTCAATACAGAAATGATGGTCAGAGCAGCCACAAGTAATAGAACAGAAATATGTGTAATTCCTGTATCTCTTGAGTGGACATGGTTCTTAAAAGCGTGTTTTCAAGGGGTGCTTTTCTTGTAAAATTACAAGAAAATAATTAGTTTGGGCCCAGATTGTTTTGCTTTTCTTGGGTCTTTCCCTTTATGGGGCTCAATGTCTCTTGGACCCTTGTGCTTTTGATTATTAGATAAAAAGATTACATTTAATTTGTCAGACCACACTTTAAAAAAAAAGATGTCACATACAGGAAAAATGGCAAAAAAAAAAAAAAACGCACCTCAGCAGTCTGATTTTGATAAACGTCACATTTCAGCGGAATCAAACACGGTCATCACGGTGAACCAGGGTGTCAGAGGGGGCAAGATCACCGAGCTGAAGAGGACGGTGGACTCCGCTGTTGAGAACTGCCCGAAAGTGCAGCAGGTGTTTGTTGCTATGAGAACAGAGAATCCCGTCGCCATGACAGCCCGGGACGTCCCCATGGAGGAGGTGAGAGAGTGCAGAGCCAATCAGAGCAGCTTGATTTAAGGTGACGATGCACACAGCAGAGGAGCAGCAGCAGCAGCTGTGTCACGCCTCCTTGGACAAATAACGATAACATGTTAATCTGCACTACCACATGTCAGGGCAAACGTCATGTGCTGAGGAATGAAAGCGGCAAACAGCTACTGAAAAGACTTTGTGGTGGATCTATCTATAATTCAGTTATTAATTTGGTGTCTTAAAAAGTTAGAATGCAAGGACCATTTAAAAAGAAAGGAACAAGAAAAAGCAGTAGGGTCAGGTCTTTGCTGCAGCTACTTGATGTGACTTTTAACAAATAATCTCATAACTCATTTTGTTGAGCAGGAGATGATGAAAGAGGACGTGGTTTGCGAGCCAGCTGTGATGGACAGTGAAGACATCCTGTTCATGCTTTACACATCAGGCAGCACAGGCAAACCGAAAGGACTGGTTCACACTCAGGCTGGATACCTGCTGTATGCTGCACTCACACACCGGGTAAACATAAAGGCACCAGCTGAGGGGCTTTTGACTTTTTAGAGAGAATGTTCCGCTAAACACCCAGATTGTTATTAGAGAATAATGGGAGAAAAAAAAAAAACATCATATCATCTAACCTTTTTTTTTTTTTTTTTAAACTAAATTAAATTGTCTAAATGAATCCTCTCCCTCTTCATCAGTATGTCTTTAGTTACCATGACGACGATGTGTTCGGCTGTGTGGCAGACATCGGGTGGATAACAGGACACAGTTACAGCGTCTACGGACCGCTAGCTAACGGGGGAACCACTGTTCTGTTTGAGAGCACTCCCGTTTATCCTGACCCAGGTATGGACATCGACAAATGTCTTTGATTTTTGATAAATTCACAGTAAAAGCATAACAGAAAAAAAATGTCAATAAGACATCTGAATGTATTGTCTTCTGTTGGCACAAGTACTTTCTAAGAATTTGTCCTTCTGTTAAGAGCTCTGCATTCTCAGGTCTCCATCTATGAATAACTGTTTACAGTTGAACTTGACCTCCGTCCTTTCCACACTAAAATTAGGACGACATTAATCATAGGAGCCAGCATGCACACCTTGTTATTGTCAGGGATTAACTGCTGAGGATAAACACTGGCACAGGTTAAAATACCTCGAATGTCAGCCCTCAGCTCTCAGACAACAGCTTCAGTCTGAGCTTGTTAGTAGACTTTGAAATCATGTCACTACGTTAATGTGTTTCTACCTTGTTCATTTAGTCCCGTTTGTGTTTTTCACAGGAAGGTACTGGGAGACGGTTCAGAGACTGAAGATAAACCAGTTTTACGGAGCTCCCACAGCGATCCGCCTGCTGCTCAAGTATGGAGATGAGTGGGTGCAAAAGTACGATCGCTCCTCGCTCAAAACTCTCGGCTCTGGTATGCCAAATATGATGCTTACATAATCCCTAATTATACATACGCCTGGAAGCTCATCATAATAGGACAATGTTAACGTACAACAATGAAATGTCACCAGTTCAGTTTCCAACTACCGTACCAAATTTAGTTGTGCATGTCACCAGCTTTTTGCATTTGAAACTGAGGTACTAGCAAGCCATTTTAAGCTGTTGTCACACATGCGCTCCTGAACATTTCTAGAAAATGTGCCCTTAAAATCTTCCAGATTCAACAAGCGAGTGGGAAAGAACATAAAAAGTGAGCAGAAAAGAGTTCGAGGCAGCTTCATTACGTGAACCAAGATCGCACAGTCAGGTGCTGTAAACCTCATCGCCTCTGCTGGATCTTCGGTGGTTTATTTTCCAGAATATGACCTTCTGCGTTCATATATCGTCTCACCCACAATTCTTGTGGCTGTTTGGGTTCACACATGCAGCTCTACCCCAAAATTTCAAGAACTCTTTAGAAGTTCTGTATATTTGTGAAAACAGCTTTAAAGATGTCTTCACTTCAAAGTACGGATATTCTTAATTCACTAAAGATGGTTGTTGATACAATACAACAGTAACAGTCGATTTGTATCTAAGGTATTTAATGTAGAAAATAATATGTTTTACTCAAAAGGGGTTTTAAGTATGAAAACTACTTGCAAATTACATAAAAATTTAAAAACAACCCATCATGTAAACTAGGTGCTCAGAGGTATTATCTACATCAAAATCTATGTAACTGTGTATATATAGAACTCTTCTATGAATCCCTGGACTCTGAGCACACACGTTGCATACTTCAAGTATACTGAAAGTCAAGCCTGGCTGGTATGTAAACGTGCCGGAGGGTTCCACATGGTCAACATCAAAGTCAAGCATGCCAGGAATCAAACACATACACACACACCTGTTTCCCTGAAACATGAAGCATAACGGTTCAAACATAAAGCGTCACAACATCCTTGTTGACCTTGATTGCCTTCATCAATCAACTCTGCCCACACACACAAAAAAAAAATCAAATGTAAGTTTAAAATATGGTTAAAGATGTCTTTGTGTGTGTAGTGGGTGAGCCAATCAACACTGAAGCGTGGGAGTGGTACCACAGAGTGGTGGGGGACGGAGGCTGCCCTGTTGTGGACACCTGGTGGCAAACTGGTAAATATGAACACTTTAAACACTTTGTGCAGCAAGCTATCAGCAACCCAATAACAGAAGACACTTGAAGGGCTCTCAGTTCTTCAAAGCCAATATTGTTATGAGAGTTTTTTCACAATAGCGCCCAGCAAAAAGTTGACAGATACGGGGCACCGGTAGCCTGGTGGTTAGTGCGTGCACCCCATGTACAGAGGCTAAAGTCCTCGAAAGCGCGTGGCCCCGGTTTGAATCCGACCTTTAGTTCCTTTCCGGCACTACCGACACTCTCTCTCTCTCTCCACGATTTCTGACTCTATCCACTGTCCTGTTTCTAAATAAAAGGCATTAAAAGCCCCAAAAAGAAATAATGTATTCACATAAATTTGACAAAGTCATTTGTTAAGTAAGTAAGTTGCTGTTTTCACTAACCCAAATATTCCCCTTACAAAATGTAAAGAAGGAAACTATGACTGTCTTATATGAGAGGAACAACTGAATCTGATATTAATTAAAAAGCTTAACCTAAAATCACTATAGGCAAATATTATTAAAAAAAAAACAGACTAATGATAGTTTTGTCTTCGTGGATGCTGAGTTTAATCCTTTACACTGTTAAACACTGCATCACATTAGCGTATTTATCAACCGGCATTTTGCATGTTTTAGTCTATTCACTCTAGCTGTCAGAAGCAGATTTACAGTCTACACTACACATTCAATTTGTGTGGATAGTCTGTGCGGCATAGGAGATTACATTTTGTGAGTATCTTTGTGTTTTTTCTCCTGATGATTACAGTAGCATTTCAGCACTTGTTGGCACAGTCACGATCTCACACAAAGTTCACCAAGTCTTCCTCGAGCACAGCCACGTCAGCAGGCTCTAAAACAAGACTTTCAGTTTTAAAGGAGGAGAGCAGTCGGCTCCGTCTTTCCTTACAACAGGAACAGTGTTACATAACAAAGCAGCTGTGGTTGTGTGCATACACGTAGACAATAGTACAAACGCACACACACACTCCCAACACAAGGGGATGTTTCTATCCCATCTATTTCTCTTGGAGAAAAGTCGTTTTTAGGAGCAGCACAGGAAGCCAGACGTTAATGGTTAGAAATAAAAGTTGACTTTGGTTAATATTAATACAATCATAATGTAGAGAAACTGATGTAGCTACAGTTAAACCTCTGTTTCCTTTTTTTGCTTCTTAACACTAACAGAGCTGCCAAAAAATCTGTCACAGAATGTTCACAGTCTTAGTACTAAGATAAGTCTTTAAATTGCTGTTCTTACCCGGACATCCTCTTTAACGAAAAATGGAAAATGTGAATCTCGTCTGCATTTTGTGTCCATATTTAGCTAAGAAAAAAAAAAAGTTTTAGAAAGAAATATGTTTTTAAAACTGAATATAGCCATACATTTGATTTGACTCTGTTTTCTATGAGTACTTTTTTGTTGTTTTCTCTAGACCTTGAAAAGTTTTCTTGTTATAATGGACAACCAGTGTTGTTATCTCCAGATAACATCATAAATAAGCGTAGCTCTCGAGAAAACAACCGGATATGACTTGTTATCATGGGAAACTGAGAAATATAAAATATAATAAATGATAATACAATAAAACATACAGATGTATGTCTGCTTTGGGCTTCCGTATGTGAGTGAACTGTGGAGAATGTGACAATACATTCATAGTGGTTAAAGTATAATAACAGTCATCCATCCTCTGTGCCTTCTAATTAGATTGAGTAATGAGCAACTGGAGCAAAGCTGCGTTAATTAACATACAAATAATAACAATTAAACATCAGAGCATCATGAGCTGCAGAATTACAGACACAGATATGACCCAAATACCCTGTTACAGCTCAAAGAGATTATATTATTATGTGATTTCCCTGGACCAGTGTTTTAATTAGGACTAAGTGGCATTATTCATACATGCCATTTGGTGGATCTGGAATAGAGTAGCCTGTTTAGAGAGAACATTTTGATCTGCTGCTGGCATGCGGCCTCCATGTTGGGTCATACAGGAGTGGAGAGGTTGAGAGGATGCAGGTCATTTAATGAAGTATTTGAATGTTTCCGGGTTTAAACATTCACTTTAACGCATTTATGAAATACAACCTCCGTACTGTATAATAATAAATAGGCATTTTTACATATTATCCAAACATTTTTGGAGACAGACTTTTCCTAATTTGACATTTTGGAAAATATGCTTATTTGTTTTTCTTTTTTAAAGGACTATCGGGGAAGATAGCAGCCCGCACGTCTATATGCCAACTTTGAAGCCAACAAGTTAGCCTCTTAGCTTAGCATTTGGAAAAGGGTTAAAGGACAGCCTGGCTCCATCAAAATGTAAAAAAAAAAAAAAAGCTTGGAGGAGCTTGGATATCTGTTTCTCCCTGTTTATATTCCTTGGGCTAAACTAAGGTAACTATTATTAGGACGAGCACTTATTAAACATGATTTAAAAGTGACATTGTGTGCTTACGATACTCACAGGAATAAAAAGGCAATTGAGAGGCCCAGTAGTGTCACGCTTACAGTACAGTTGATGTAAACAGGATGCTGCTTTCTAAAGCTATTGTGGGATCATCTGTTGTGTCCTACTTTATAACAGGCTCCCTCTGCTCTGTCCAGCACTGTTCCCACCAGCAACAGTGGACAGATGAACAGGGTCTCTGAAGTCCAGGAAAACCTAATTGTATTTAATTTACTTAGTATGGCTGTAATTCTATAATCTGCATCTGTAGCAATGAGAGGGGCTTATGCTAGATTTACAAACTGTTAGTTGGCTCTGTTAGTATTCCTACTCCCTCCTTTTTTTTTCACTCAACTGTTTTTCCACATTGCTTCATTTTGGTCTTCTTTCAGGATTTGTTGAGAATGATAAAAATGAATTGTCACACCAGCTCTAATTACTCTGCTTTGTTTTGCTGTGTGTTCTCAGAAACAGGTGGCATCTGTATCACCCCAAAGCCATGTGACCCAGACGCAGAGATCATCCCTGGCATGGCTATGAGACCTTTTTTTGGCATTAAGCCCGTGCTCATGGACACTGAGGTGTGCTGCTCATCTCTGTGAATGTTGGATGGCTGGGAAATGGTCCTAAGAGAGGGTCAGATTAGGATTATCAAATAGTCACCAGCTGTGTCACTTTTGATACCCACCCATCAGTCCCAGTGTGTTTGTGCCAAACACCCCATTACAAATCTGTCATACTACTTTGTGGCTGCTGCTGCTGCTTTTGAAAAGCACAGATTGTGCAGACAGTTGGAGTGGGGGGTCTCTGAGCTGATCCCTCTTCCTCTCAACAAAAACCCACACAAAGGATTTTGTAAACTACAAAATACAAAGGTTTTATTGTGGTACTATTGTTGAGTATTTTCTAGATGTTGTATCAGTCTTTCCTAGTTGTTCAATCAGCTAAGCTGGAAATATCATGCAACAAAAAACACTAGCATTATTTTTAAGAAACCATTTTTGCACTCTGAAAGTATTTGCTAGCACTTATGACACTGGTTTTATGCTAGGTTATCATTTTTTATTATCCTCTCCTCTAATGGGCATTATCACTGGTTCTTTAAGGGGAAAGTTCTGACCTCTAACAACACAACTGGAGCTCTGTGTATTGCTCAGCCTTGGCCTGGTATGGCCCGAACCATTCACAACGACCACCAGAGATTCATTGAGACCTACTGTCAGCCTCATCCTGGTACTGTATGATGTGTTACTTCATTTATTCAAAGTAAAGGTCACTTTCTTGTCTCTTGCAGTCTCTAATTAATTCTCATTCTCCGTGCACACAGGTTACTTTTTCACTGGTGATGGCGCCTATCGCTCAAAGGAGGGCTATTACCAGATCACTGGCCGCCTTGATGATGTCATCAATGTGAGCGGTCACAGGATTGGAACAGCAGAGATAGAGGATGTGGTGGTAAGGTCATCCAATGACTACATTTATTTCATGTGTTTGAGCCTTCATAAACATTGAAAGAATGATGTGTTTATACTTTTTATATATATTTTTACATATGTATTAAAAATATATATAACACTAATAAGCAGAACTCTTGACACCTTTTAACCGAGGACAAGATTTTCAATTCCATTAAAGGTGCTTTTTTTAAAGGTCACATATTATTTTTCTTTTCAACATGTGTAAATAAGTCTCAGAGCTACACAAAACATGTCTCTGAAGTTTCTCGTTAAAAATCCACTCCGTTCCTGTTTTTGATCATGCCTATAAACCCCTCTATTTCAGCCCTGCTCAGAACAGGCTGTTTCTGTGTCTGTAGCTTTAAATGTAAATGAGCTGTGTCTAACCACGCCCCTCTGGAAGGGTTTTGGTGGCTCGGGCTTCCTCGCTCTATGCCCTATTGTTTACAGTGAGAAGGCAGACTCAGGGGGCAGAACAAACACCTAGCTGTGGGAGTGTATCCCACCTGGGGGAGGGGTTACTAACCTTTGTGATGTCATGAAGGGGAAATCTCCAAACAGCCTGTTTGAGCACACATTTTCTGAAAAGGGGAGCAGGCAAAAGACGGAGAGGATGGACTTTTCTCTGCAGTGGGGGGTTTGTAGACAGACTAGGGACACGTATTTGTGTCAACATGGTAAAGTGTATTATGCATAACACGTGACCTTTGTAAATACCTCTCGTAAATACATTACCGAGTGATTTTACTTGCAATACTCAAGCGCTTAAATGTTTTCCTCTGAAGTGTAGCGATACGATACTATTTGATGAATTGTCCCCTTGGGTAAATTTCTGATTCCTTTACAGAATCAGTGCTCTGCTGTGGCCGAGTCTGCTGTTATAGGATACTCGCATGACATCAAAGGAGAAAGTGAGAAATTAAAAGAATTAAGTGAAATTCCAGTTAAGTAAATGTTTCCCACATTGTGTCGATGTATCTTAGTAACATAAAATGTATCTCCATTGTTGTCAGGTGTTTACGCCTTTGTGGTGTTAAAAAAGGTTGTGGATGTTGAAGAGGCGGATCTTTCCAAGCAGCTAAAACACATGGTATCTAAAAAGATCGCCAAATATGCCTGCCCAGACTACATCCAGGTAATTTCACCTCACTTACCTGACACATTAAAAAAACTCACTAAGAGACCTGTACTTAGTAATTTAAATTCTTTGGGTTATTCTCTCAGTTTGTGCAGCGCCTGCCAAAGACACGCTCAGGTAAGATAATGCGCCGGGTGCTGCGGAAAGTGGTGGAGCGAGACCTGAACGGGTTGGGTGACCTCAGCACCCTGGATGATCCTGCAGCAGTCGAAGAGATCATTCAGGGTCACTGTGAACTCTGTGGTTAACACTGTGATGTGTTTTCTATAAACATTTTCAAATTAAGAGAAATATCAGCGTAATGAATGATTACACAGTATTCTCTCTAGTTCGGTAAGGCAGACATGTGCCATTGTATAAAAAAACATTTAACTAACAGTTATTGTTTGTTTTTAATTGTACATAAGAATGCTTTTTATAAAAACCAAGTGAAGATTTTTTTTTTTAACTTTGTATAACCTACAGATGTATCGTGCTTTTAAAAGGATTTACAAAAAGATGAGAAAGTGTGTTTTTAATACAAAATTAGAATCATTTTACCCAAAGTAGTGATTGTAAACATACACAAAAATAATCTCATAAATAAACAATAAGATTTACAAAAAGAGAAGTCCAAAGTGTCTTTCTTTTCTGAATCGTTGTCGTAGTAGGTGAATATACTATTGACCACCGTGAAGTCATCCAAGTCATTGATTGAGAAGAGTTTTTGTTTATCAGGAAGGAGAGCTCAACCAAAATATTCACAAGTATTCACAAATGTCTTCAAACTGCTGCACTCCTGCCCATTTTCTCAACCTCTCAAGTGACCAGGCAAACCAGTAAAAAAACAACAACATACATTTTAGTTGTCCTTCTGAGTAACTGGGTTATATAGTACCTTAAGGAGGCGCTCTTGAATAAAAGCAACCGAGGAATTCAGGAGTGCTTTCTGATCTGATGCTTCCAGCATGTCCAAAGTGATGACGTTGCCGTCATGTGTCTTCTACTCTGAGGTTGGGACTCCCGCTGCCTCCTTTTAACTTGGTTAACTCCCACCGACCCTCTCCGCATAGTTTCAGCTGGACATCATGAAACTGTGAGACAGAGAGGCAGAATTAATATCTTAACTTAGATTTTTACAGACTTGAAAACAAAGTAGGAGAAGGGAGACGAAGAGGGATGAATTAATCAAACTAAATATTTTTAGGGAGTGAAAAAAAAGCACAAGTTGAACTATGCAGGAGATATATAGACGTTGATAAAGTGGCCTCAGGTTGCACATTTCTCCATTTTAATATCTAAATTGTTGTTTTCGGTGCAAAATTGCCTGCGGTGACGCAGATGCATCATTTAATGCTGCATTCATGTGGTGTCGGACACATTGGAAAAAAAGGAGTTTCCGAGTTGTAAAATGCACATGAACACCTGCTCAAGTTCGAACAACAAATCGGAAACTCGGAATAAATAAGGTACCCGACTTCCCAACTTGACGTCAGAATCTTCATCAAATGGGGGGCAAAATATGTTTTGTTAATGTTAACATACTTTTTATTAATTCAAGTATTGCACATTACCTTTTTGCTCAAATATCACTTTAACAGTAACATTTCACTGATCTTCTTCGTAGCATCGACGCTTTTTTGTGCTGTTGATACAACATTCCGACTTTCCGAAATGAAATCACGTGAACACAATGAAGTCAGAAGAACGACTTCCCAACTCGGAAACTTGGACCACCCGAGCAGCACACGAATGCAGCACTACTTTCAAGCTGGACACACATGTGTTCAGTGTACCTTCTCCAGGCTGCTACGGTGTCCCAGACTGATCAAAGTCATGCCCAGCTGCTTTACAGGTGCGGTAGAGCTGAGCTTCTGCCTCTTCTGTCAAAGCACTGGTGGCCTCATCCAACACTGAAAAGAGTAACTGAGTATGTAAAACTTAAAATGATAGGAAACTACATCTGGGTCGCCTTTAATGTGCAAACATCACATCTGAATTGCTAATCAGAAGTGTTCAGAATAACACACCTGCATATTTAGGCTGCAGGTAGAAAAGTCGTGCAAAGCAGAGACGCTGCATTTCACCTGGAGACAGAACATCATACCTGCAGAGAAAATCGTATTCATCACTAATGAATCACTACTACCCAGAAAAAAAACAAAGTACACATTTATTTATTCAGCTAAAATAGTTTTTGTGTCTTGTACTTAATCTTACCAGTTCCACTCAACCTTTTCATCCAGACCGCCGGTCCGCTTCAGGAGGCTGGACTGGATCACATAAAGCGGTTCGATTCAAGGTCGGTGAAAGACCATATTGAAAATAATTGAAATAAAATTAGTAAATCAATTTACAAAAAAAAATCTATAGATATAGTTCAAAGGGATATTTTGTCAGTCCCTCACCACTCCAGCTAGTTCCAGAAACTGAATTATTCTGTCATCGTCCACTGACCCTGAAAAACAGGAAGCTCTCTTTATGATCCCTTATTTTACTAAGTACAGAAATCAACATCTTTACAAAGTCACAACACAAAACCATGATCTCTTTTTTTGATTGATATAAAAATGAATGTTATATATATATATATATATATATATAAGGAATCATATATAAATCTTATACAGTTCAGAATGAAATGTGCTACCTGATGCAGGGTAAATATCCTTCAATGGGTAAATCACCTGTAAGAGGGGAGAAATACAGTTAGTCCTTCTTTAGTCTATTCCAAGCATTGTATTTGTGTTCATTGGTTTACTGTATGATGTGTTACAGGCTGGAGAGAGAAACAACCCGGAGAGAGAAACAACATAGGGAGAGACGGTAACCTGTTCACGCAGTGTGCCATCAGTCAGGTACGGTTTCTGAGGCAGGAAGAGGGTTCCTCTGGGCCCAAAGCACGTGGTCATTTGGACAAAACCTGAGGAGTGAGAAAGTCTTTCTGTTGATTCTTTGATCTTTATGATATACTTTGTATTTCTTTGTTTCAAAAGAATTCCAACAAAAACAGAAAAACAGAGCCACCCTCAGATTTTTTACTAAAAGTAACCTGTACAGAAAACAGCAAACATCACAGATGTGTTTCTCCTCCTACTATCCATAAACACAGATTGGATTGTTTAAAACAAAACTTGTAGTAGGAGCTTTGAATCCTTGGCCCATATGTCCCTTAAAAATATTTAAGGGACGTTATTTAAATGTCTCTTTCTAAAATGTCCATATGCTGGATCTGTGGGCTTTTTAAAAACATGTTTACGGGTTGTTGTTTAATTGAAGATATATGTTTGAAGGATTAAGTGAAGTATAAAGCAAATACCCACAACACAGAGGACCTCTACATTTTCTAGAACTAGAGAATACACATGATTTCTTTTTATAAGCTTCAGTCGTTTATGTGCAAACTCTCTGTGTCCTGTCTTGACTCACGTTAAACAGACTAAATCAATCAAACTTCATTCTCAGTGTCGCTGCTTTCTCACCGCTGTGTGCCTCCCACAGTCGGTTGAGGACCCTCAGCAGTGATGTCTTGCCCGTGCCTGTGTTCCCCACCACCAGCAGATGTGAACCCTGGCTGATTTTCAGACTCAGATCCTCCACCAGCAGCTGGTCTGAGTACGGAGATTTATATGAAAGATTGTCCAGGATGAAGGCAGTGTCCGCTGGGCCCGCATGGACATTGAAGTCACTGAGTGGAGAAATTCAATAAGAAAACAGAAAGGCAGATAAGCTTAAATCAAAGTACTTCATATTTAATTGTTATGTTCTGTCTCCCTTTTTCTGTCTTATTCTTTGAAATGCTCCCTGATGCTTCATCCTCTTTCGACTGAACTTTTTCAGAGCAATGACAGATATAAAAGTTCTCCCACAAACCTGTCAAAGTCGTAGCTTTCCCCTGATGCTGGGTCATAGTCGCACTGCTTGTGTAGGATGTCTTCCATAACTTCCCTCAGCTCGCCAATCCTGCCCACAACACACACACAAACACACCGATTCAGCTCAAAAGCTGTTGTCATCATCTGTCTTCCATGGAGTGAATTTAAGTATGCGATGAGATACCTGTGGGTGTATCCAGCCACGTCTGACAGAGTGGTCGACAGGTCTATTAGCTGTGTGAAGCCATTTATCAAGTAGATGCAGACAAAGGCGTTCTGAATATGAACAAGGTGAGGGAGAAGCCGAGGGGAAAGTTTTATAAATGTGTATTAATGTTTAAACTCTGAATAATACCCTAAGACAAGGAAAGTACACAACAGAATGAACAAATAATAATTAATAATTACTTAGACATTTCAAAGTGAGTTCTTTGTCTGACTACAGGCATTTGATTTGAAAGAGAGGAAGCAGCCGTCTTGAGAGGAGAGAAAGCATTTGCTGCCACCTAGTGGATACATTTGGAACAGATACACTTTCAGCCATCACCTCTATGATAGGATAATCTCTCTGCCATTTTATAACTTATTTGCAATGACACTTTGTTTAAACTTGTGTATTTTTATATTAATTCTAACTTTCATTATGTTTCATCTATTTTTGTCATTTCTTGATACAGATTGAATAATTGTTAAAGCTGAGACCAGCGGAGTACTGACATCTCTACTGAATGGATACAAATAAACAGATTAATGAACATGATTTAAAAAAAATTTAAAAAACAAGCCTACCTTACTGATGAGCGCACTGAGCTCACCGGGAGTGAGGCCATCATAGAGTCCTGTGAAGATGGGAATGGCGATGATGATGTAGCTGAGAAAACCTCCAAGGTAGTCGAACGTGTTCACCCCAACTGAGAGAGAAGGAGCCAGAGGTTAACTACACAACTTTTAATGAAATCGAGCAGTACAATATGTGTGTGAGCAGGTTTGTAGGTGTGTAGGGTGTTCTTACTATAAAGCCAGAGCTCTTTGTTTATTAGACTCTTTTGAGTTTGCAGAAGCGCCTGCAGTCTGCGGTCGGTCCTCATGTGCTCCACTTTACCCGCTCTGAAAAACACAGACAGCAGCATTTTTTTTTTTCCCCAAGTCTACTTTCACTCTGTGATCACTTTGATTTGATGTGTCAGAATGAGCAAGAAAGTACCACATTATATAAAGTTGTTTTTTTGTTTTTTTTAAAGAGGAAAATAACACCAAGTACATTTTTTATCTAAGTTATTCCGTTATGATTGTACAAACTTCCTGGAAATAATTCCATTTCAGCAATGGCAACAGACACATGTCATCACTGGTATGCTTTGGTTTTTTTTATTTGAAAAAAAACACAAAAATAGAGACATTAAGTTCGACCCTGCCGTTTACATCAAGTGCCTCACCTGTAAAAAGCTGCAGACTCTGCGTTGACACGGATCTGCATGTGCTTGAACCTGGAGATACACAACACAGCTTTAAAAAAATGTTTCAACCTTCCAAGTAACAAAATCAGCCACCGGGCAATTTTTAAATGTAATGGTAACTGTAAAAAAAAATATTAACTGTTTTACATTGTTGTACGATTGTATTGGTTCTTTGTGACAGTTTGAATTTATAACTATTCCTCTTTTTATAGTTGACACATATCCTGTGTTATTTCCTGAAATGGTAAAAGCTCTGGGCCACAGTCCACAGAAAACTTCCTCTTAACAAATTGA